TGGTTCCTCATAAACCTCATCTTTTTGAAAATACAAGTCTTTGTACATTCTATGCATCTCAGGCATTTCTATATCACCATATTAAATTGAGTCAGATGGTCTTTCGCCGCGAAGAAACCAAATCTTGTAGTGAGGATCAAAGCCTTTTATGACTATGTTGTAACCAATATTAAAGTGGTGGTGTTGTAGGTTTCGACATTTAAAACAAGGACACACAATCATATATGTATCTCCTACTCTTGCACGAACTAGCCTCATTGACAAAATTATGTGCTCCCTCCTGATATTTCTTCCCATGTATATAGTAATAAGCATTAAAGTAAAAAAAAAATCAAACTTAAATCAAAATTACATGCTTCAAAGTTATGAGAAAGTTTAGCCTGTAAATTTTCAGCCATTTTTTGTCCATTTTTTAAGACCAATACGAAGCCTCACAAATCACTTTAACATACAAAGCTGAAAATACACAAATAACTCTTTTAAGGTTTTAGCTACAAAGTCAACAAATTACAAAGACCAACCCAACAGAAAATATATACATCTCTCTTTATATATACTAGATTTTTGGCCCGTGCGATGCACGGGATTGAAGTAAAATTAATAAAAAGTAAAGTTCAATTTAAACGACAAAATTAAGTTTCAATTCATTTTGATATTTTGCTATATATATTCATGATAATTCCCCATCCATAAATTTTTTTTGCCATATTTATTAATTTAACTTTATATTTTTTATGTAATATGGTTGTATATTTATCTTATCTCAATTAATGTTGAAGTTTAACGAATATTCTTCTTTATCACCCATAATAGGCTTCAGTAAATTTACTGTAAATCAATGATGCCATTAAATCTTAAGAGTTTATCAGGAGCAATTTTACTTTTATTAATAAGATAAGAACCAAATATTTTTCTAAACAATTAAATAATTTTTCCATCAAATTAATATTAAGTAAAAATGACAATTTTGGTGGGAAAAGATAAGTAAAATTGGGGCGAAAAAGTCTGGATACTAAACGGATTTATTAAACTTGATTATATTAAATATAGTATAACAATAAAATTAATTAATCAAATAAATGACAATTATAATTTATAACTATCAAATGAGTGGTAAGAACCAAATGTTTTTCTAAAAAAATAAATAATTTTCCCATCAAATTAATATTAAGTAAAACGACAATTTTAGTGGGAAAATATTATTTTTAGTAATAAAATAAGAACCAAATGTTTATCTAAACAATTAAATAATTTTTCTATCAAATTAATATTAAGTAAAATGATAATTTGAGTAAGAAAATATATGTAGATTTGGGGCCATCAAGTCTTGACAGACTTATTATACTTGATTATAATAAATATAATAAAACAATAAAATTAGTTAATTAAATAAATGACAATTATAATTTATAGCGGAAGCAACCTTACTTTTATTAATAAGATACGTGGATAGTGGATTTATTAACTTTGATTATATTAAATTAAATTAAATAAATAAATGAAAATTATGACTATCAATGGGAAAAATTTCCTAGGGTTTAACATGAGCAGCCTTACTTTGATTAATAAGATTAAAAAAAATTAAATTATTATAAAAAGAATTATTATAAAGAACAAAAAAATTATAAAAGAAGGAATTAAATTGTGATAAAGACCACAAACAATATATATATATATATATATAT